GGGTAAATAGGGAAGAATTATTTTGGGCTCAGTTGTGATTCTTGTTTTTCTTTCCTAGTTTACTTGTAAGTTTCAAGGAGGGGCTGCAGCTCGCGCCTCTCGTTGGGATGATGTATGAACTCACTCTAATTTGCTTCTGAATCAATAAACTTATTATTATTCATCAAAAAAAAAAGAAAGGATTGTACACAAAACACACATGAAATGCAATATGATGCTATTGATCTGCTAACTAGCTGTAGTCCTATATTTTCACATCTTTGTGATTTTGAACTAGAGAAGCATTGCATGTACAGGTCTATTTCAAAGCAACAGATCCATTCAGTGAAAGGTGGCAAAGTGCTTGGATCATCACTGCCTTTTGGGATATTATTGCATTTGGTTTGCTCTGTGTTATCTGCTACCTTTGGCCCCCATCTCAGAGCTCTCAAAGGTGTCTTTTCAACCTTCTGAAGTTTAACTTATATTTAATATAGTAATCTCATTATGGAATATTGTCATTTCAACCAGGTATGCCTACTCTGAGGAAGTAGGAGACGAGTTTGATGATGAAGAAGCTCAATCTTTAACCAGGGTAGCACCAGAAGGGGATCTAAGTTTAGTGAAGCAAGATAAGAATGTTGGAAACAATGGTGTATTCAATGTGGAAGATGACACAGAGGAGGACAAGAGGGAATAGTAACAAATAAGATGCACAAGTGCACATGTTTTTTGTAACCTTTCGTGCCAACTTTATTCAAAAGAATACAACTAGGAAAGTTTGGTCAACTTCCTGCCCTCACTTATTTTGCAGTTTTTTCATTCTTCACTTGTGTAGAAAGGTTTTATTTTCAGTAGTGTCCACTGGCAGCTAAAGCTGACCAATGTATGATTAATGAATCTTAGAATCCAGTGACAATGTGATTTCTTCTATATTTTTTGTAGAAACTGATTGTCCTTTGTATTTATATTCTTTCATTTTTTTATTTCATGTCATGGGTCAAAAAATTTATGGATTGTATTCGTGCTGTGACATTTGTAGTTCTAGATGGCCACAACCTTTGACAGCTACCTAATCTCTTTAAGGAGCATTTGTGCCCTAGCTTCCAGATTGAATTTCTTGTCTGGATGTCCTGTTCAAGTAACTCTGGTAGATAGTTTATCTAAAAATGGTATTGGTACATTGCAGTTCAGGTTGGGTTCTATAGTGAATATGCTTTAGTAATGTACTGTTGTCTTGGTTCCTTGTAGCTTGTACTTTGTTTTTGTATAGGTTGCCATTGTCATGGTTGTTTGTCTATCAGATGTCACCCATCAGCACCATTGAGAATTAGGGTAAGAAGAGAGTGATATATTCCTTGTCTTTACATGATATTCTCAGTAGATATTTATAGCCAACTTCTCACAGAAAATCACGATCAGAGGCATGCACATGGGAGGCTCGAGCTAGTTATATTGATGTGGCCTCCTTGTATAGACAAACCTGATGGGAGACGCAACTCGAGCTATCTTTGGTGGTGGGCTTGGCTGGTGCTCTATATCATTGTGGGTCTTGTGGGCTGGTGTTTAAGTGCTCTGTGGGCCTGGGTTCTTATCCTCAAGGTCTGAAATAAACTCTGGGTACTGTTGCTACAGCTTGGTATAGTCCTCCCAGGTGGCATTCTTTGCCGGAAGGTTCTTCTAGGTGACTAGGGCATGTTTAGGTGACTTCTTCCCCACTTTGATCCATTGGTAGTTAATGATGGAGAGAGTTTAACATACCCGGGTGTCTTCTAAGAATTGAGGTAAAGTGGGACTGACTCGGGCTGTTGGTGATATGCAGGGCTTGAGGCTGACATGAAACATCGGATGCAACTTGGAGGTTGGTGGAAAATCCATGCAATAAGCCACTGGACCCACTCGCTGCAGCACCTTGAATGGGCTAAAATAACGGGGTGCCAGCTTCTGCCAAGCTTGTTGAGCCAAGAAGGTTTGCCTATACGGTTGGAGCTTAAGGCTATGTTTGGTTTGAAGGAAAAGGTAAGGAAAGGAAGGGAAAGGTAGGGAAACCTGTACAATGGAATTTGCAACTGGTGACTTGGTTTTCCTTTAGGTTGTGTTATATCAGTATTCAGTCCATGGAAGCCACTGAGCCCACTGCTTGGGTCTATCCCCAATGAAACAACATAGATGTCTCCAAGCAGCAGTTAACCACCTCCAATTGCCAATTCATCTAAGGGTGGTAATTGGTAGTATGCAGCATCTAAACTCCCTGAGCTTGGAAATAGGCTTACTAGAATTTGTTCATGAATAAAAGGTCCCCATCAGTGAGAATGGAGCTGGGCGTGCTGTGAATCTTGGCAACCTCCACAACATAAGCTCTTGCAACTAGGGAAGTCGTATAAGGGTGTGAAAGGGTGATGAAATAAGCATACTTGCTTAGTTTATTGACAATAACCAGAATGACTGATTTACCTCCAGACTTTGGTAGCCTCATGATGAAATCCATGGTGATATCGTCTCAAACTTTTTCTGGGATGGGAAGGGGTTGCAAGAGATAATTTGGTTGTTGGGTGCTACATTTCTGTTGCTAGCAGGTAGAGAACTTGGGACACATAGTCCTAGTAATGGTGTGCAGATAATCTCTTATAGGTCCACAGAACACCTGAGTGGCCACTAATAGCTGAATCATGAAAGAGATGTAGAAGCTGATCAAATTGTTTAGAGTTAGTTGAGATGAGGAGCCTGCACTTTGGAGTAAGGTGGAGTCCTTTATTGAGAACCTTGGAACTTGGCTGGGATCCTACATCCATTGGGTTCAGAGTTGGGCCAGTTTGGGGTCTTTATGGGCCTCTTCCTTCAACTGGTCAGTAGGTACTTGGCTTGGGAGATGTCGAGCACTTGTAATTCTTCAACTCGGTATAGGGTATCAGCCACTATGTTAGAGGGACCCGGTCGGTACTTGATGGTGAAGTCATACCCCAACAATTTATAGGACCAACATTGCTAGTCATGGGTGAGAGTCCTTTGCTCTAGCAAGTGTCTGATGCTTCTATGGTCGGTTTTAACGGTGAAATGCCAGCCCAAAAGATTGGCTCGCCACTTCTAGATGGTGAGCACAATAACCATCAGTTCCTTTTCATACATCGACTTGGACTGGACTTGTAGTATGAGGGACTTATTGAAATAAGCTATAGGTTTTCCCTATTACATCAACACAACCCCAATTCCCCTACTAGATGCATTAGTTTCATTTACAAATGGTTGAGAGAAATCGGGTAGGATCAAGGTAGGGGGTATAGTGACTGTCCGCTTCAGGTTTTGGAAGGCTTGGTCTGCCGCTTCATCCCATTTGAAGGCCCCCCTTTTTTTTTTAAAGATGTGTCAGGGGAGCCGCTAAAGCTCCATACCCTTTTATGAATCGGCGATAGTAGCTGGTTAGGCCTAGGAAGGCCCTGAGAGCCCTTGGGTTTGTTGGTCAGGCCCATTGGGCCATACATTCTACCTTCTCCAAATTTGTTTTAAACATGTCCCCTCGAGATGATATGCTGTATTGAATACGGGTCTTCCTGAAAGAGCACTTGGAAGGTTTGGCCAAGAGCCGATGTTGCTTCAAAGTGGTTAGGGTGCACCGTAAGTGCTCCAAATGGTCTTGCCACGTGGGAAAAGTGGTGTGAAAAGTGGCCACGTGGGAAAAGAGCCGATGTTGCTTCAAGTCGAAAGGCATTATTATAAACTCATAGTGGCCATTTGTTGTGTGAAAAGTGGTCTTATGTGTGTCATCTAGGAGGACCCGAATCTGGTGATACCTGTATCTGAGGTCCAATTTAGAAAAGTAAACTACCTTCCCCAATTTTCTTTGATTGTAATATGGTTTAGTGCTCAATAACCTATACAAAACCTCCATGTCCCATCTTTCTTCTTGACAAAGAGTATAGGGGACGAGAAGGGGTTGATGCTAGGTTTAATGAATTGTTTGTCAAGGAGCTTGTTCACCATCTTTACAATTTCCTACCTCTAGAAATAGGGGTATTGGTAGTGCCTCACATTTGTAGGTGGGGCACCTAGTTGTAAGGTAATTCGGTGGTCAGAAGCCCATTCAGGTGGTACTAAGTGAGGTTCTTGGAAGACATTTGAGAACTCGAAGATCAAGTCGGTAATTTGAGATTGAACTGCTTTAGGCCCATACTCCCATAGTGAATGGAAGTGGAATCAGAGGTTAGGATTGGTTCTTGGCCCATGGGCCCAAGGACATGAAAGTAGGTGTTATCATGTGTTGGCAACATTTGATGATAGCCCTTAGTAGTTCATCAGTAGCAGGGGTGGGGGGGCCCAAACCTGATAAACAATGGGAAATGTCGTCTTAAGTGAAACACGTGGTAAGCTTGCACCAGTCACACTATGGGCCCTAATTGGTTGAGCCACGAGATCCCTAAGATCACCTCTGCACTAGAGAAGCCCAATGGATATAAGTCCGTATGGAATAAGCAACCCTGTATTCTGACCTCAACTCGTTTGCAGAGTATCACATTGGATTCAGCTCTCATTGGCCACTAAAGCTGAGAAAGTGGCAGTGGTGGCCACAATCAGTCCGAGTTTTTGAACCAATTGAGTGGTGATAAAATTCAAGGAAGTTCCGCTATTAATTAGCATCATCACGATCCTTCCCTTAATGTTCCCTTGAACTCTCATGATCTTACACAATTTGGGGTTAGGGGTTTCCCCTACATCCAAGAAGTCTGTCTCTAACCTCTTCATCATCCTCATTGTGCTGGAGGAGAAATAATTGTTGAGTTTTACATATGTGGCTTGGAGCAAATTTCTCATCACAATTATAAGAAAGGCCCTTCTCCTTCCTCGGCTTGCATCTTAGCCCAAGTCAACTTCTTAAGTGGTAACGAGCATAAATCGGCGGGTTTGATAAACCCTAGTCCAGGCCGGTTCGGTGGGAGTTTGTGTAGTGGTCCCGAGTCAATCTTAAGGGGAGGCCCTACTAGGGTTTTAAGTATTGAGCCCATGGGCCGAGATGCCCTTCAAGTTCGTTCCAATTTTTCTTCTTAGAGCTTGGCTAGCCCCACGATTGCCATCATTGTTGGGGGATGCATTGCCTTTACCTCCACTCTTTGTATCTTCCCTGAGGCCTCCTACGAAGCTACCCGCGAGAGCCTTCTCTGTCCACCCTGTCTGTCACTCTGGAGGCCAACCTTTCAAACTGGTTTTGGTACTCCATAACTGACCCAGTCTATCTTACTTTGACAAGGGATTCGTCATAGTCTTTGAAGCCAGACGAGCCAAACCTCATAGTAAGGGCCTCAGCAAAGTCTAGCCATGTGAGTTGGAGATGGGACATTTAGTACCACTAGTACCAAAGGTTGGCCTCCCCATCCAGGTGAATGGCAACGATGGTTAGCCTCTTAGAGGCTATTATTTCATGAAACTTGAAATATTGCTCTACTATATTGATCCAAGGGACAAGGTCCTCACATGAGAATACCAGGAAGTTGATTTTAGTTTTTGTATAGGTTTCCATGACACCATTAGCACCAGCATTTCCCTCATCCTTCTTATGTAAATTTATCGATTTAATTTTGGATGGACATAGGGGATGATAATATTTTCTCTGTACATTGTGGTTGGTAGGGGAACTCTTTGTAGATTTTCTTTAGTTTTATTTTATTATATAGTTAGGGGTCTTAAATATAATTTTACAAGTTCATTATCTTATAATCCTAATAAAAGTGGGTGGCAGTTGGGTTTGAGGTTTTACTCAACAATGACTATTATTAGCCCTTTCTTTTCAACTCTATTTTTTAGCTGATATTTCTTTTATTTGTTTAATTATTTATTTAGGCTCAGTTTGGAAGCAGTACAAATGCAAATATATACAGCATAAATACATACAAAATAATATAAAATATATGGTTTTGCACTCTACATATTTGCATTTGTACTCCTTCCAAACTCAGCCTTATGGGCAAATTTCTTAAAT